GGTAATAATTTGTAATTTAGACATGATTTATGAAGCATTAGTTTGTCTAAAATCACAGAGATTGATTTATCAGTTTGTAAAAATATATTTATAAGTATTTCAGAAATAACATTTTCCTTTTTGTGAAGCAGATCTAAAGGGTAGAATAAAAAGGATAGCAGCATCAGTATTTCTCTGAGAACACCCTTTGGGACTATATTTCGCATTAAGACTTCCCATTCTTTCAGTTCTCTTCTGTGAAACAAACATTATTGTTTTAATTAGCTAGCAGTCATCAGTCTGCTATGAAGAGAAGATTTGGGTTTTTTCCCCTCATAGGATCTCAGAAAATCTGGGCATTATGAGGGAATTTAGAGTGAAGAATATATAATGGAGTGGAGGATTTTATTGTGTTGCAGCATGATTTCTCCACTATCACTTCACTCCTCCATGCGATGGAAATTTAGGAACCTGCTTCCATTTGGAAGTAGAGTTAATGAGTGCCAGGGAAAAAATATGGCCATCTTCTAATGCAGTGAGGTTTAAGTCAGAGGCTGGGTTGAAGCATAGAAGGGATCTAGAGTAGTAGAGAAAGGGGTAGAACATGAGAATAAAAGGCGATACAGCAAGGTTTTTTGGGTTATGGTTGACAAATATGGTTCAGCATTCACAGCTGTCTCGTACTGTTGCGTGGTTGTCTTGCCTTACTCTCATCTTCAGTAACCAGGTAGGAAGGGATTCTGCTGCTGAATCATTTTGGTATTTACGTGACTTGGAGATTTACCCTGTAAAAGGCTTTTTTCCCCTTTCATACAAAGTATAAATTTGCCTTTTTGTAGCACTTCTGAGTTTTAAAAGTTCACGGATTCAGGCCTGTTCAGAGTCACACCAACAGGTGCATTTATTTGTGTAGTATCAGCCCACAGTTATATTGTCTTCAAGTGACTGCAGCCACTTAAGAATATATGTTCTGTGTTCACTTTGTGCATTTGCAGTTTCTGAATGCAAAATTTTGCTTTAAAATACATTTCTGGAGATTCTACATGCCTGTCTTTGAAATATGTATCAATGTAGTTTAGTCTTGCTGCCTTTGTAGATTGTGTGAAACAAAATGCTAGGAATTTGAATTTATATACTTTATTGTTCACTTCATTTGGACATTGAATGAAGATCAGTGCAGGTAATTGTAAATTGATGCAAGGAAGCACATACAAAAGCAAGGTAAAGGAGAAATTCAAAATCTGAAAGGACTGGTGATGACAGGGAAGGAAGTGAAGGAATAGGACACAATATATATTTTTCCTACTAAATACATCTTCGCTTACTATTCTGTCCTGTACTGAGACTGAAACAAATCAGTAGTTCAGCACAGTTATAAAGAAGGTAGTTTTTTCCCCTCCTATAAAACTATGAAGTTGCTATATTGTAAAAATACACTGCTCCCACCTTCTTTGGGATGCATGACATGCTGATAATCAGTTTATGTGCATCTGTGAGTGCTTTCTAGCCTGTTCAGTCAAAAGATTCTAGTATGTGGTAAAAAGTATTGTTACCAGATCACAGGTAATTTTGGAAACAAAATGCCCCAAGATGTGTTTTTTAAGCATATCAACAAATACCAGTGATAATCCCTGGCAGAAAGATGCTTGTGAACAGTTTGGGATAGTTATCTTTTTCCATTGGCACAGATCATTTTGAAGGAGAAGAGCTGCTGGCAGCCTGGCCTTGAGCTGGCCAGCTTTATTCTGCAAATATTTAGACAAAATAATGAGGCTGATGGAGGTGTGAAGTAATGTGAACCCTGAGGGACACTGTTGGTGAAATGTTGGTTGTTGATGCAGCTGTTCTGACAAGACTTAAGTACTTTCAGTGTATTTGTAAACAAATACCAATATGCTCTAAGCTGAACTGTAATTCTGCTTTCAGACATAAATGAAACAAGCCCTTTTTTTAGATATGCTGAAGTGATGTTCTAGGTGCTTGGTTTGCTTTGGGATTTTTTGGTTATAGATTCTACTTAGATTTAGTAAGAGCCTCTTCAAACAGAAGTTGTTTGAGAATGATGAATGACTTGAAAATTTCAGATTAGTACTTGGGCTGTTAGTTTGTCCTTTCTTAGAGTTTTGGAAGGAAAAAGTGAGCTGGCTTACCAGGATTGTCCTGCATAGCACATTTTTTGAATGTATATATAGTAAGCATCTTTTGGATTGTCATCAAATTGATAGCCTTTCACTAGTGAAATTCCATCAAGTTCACAATTAAAAAAATGCTAGGTATTAAAGGAATAAGAATATCCATGTTCTAACTGAAAAAAAATTTTGAGAGAGAAATAGCACAAGTCATTTAAGCCCTATTGTTATCAGACATGTAGTGCTCCTGAGCCTTTAATTTTCTGACTTCATTGTAGATGCTTTCTGACTTTATTCTTGGCATATTTTTAGTGTTTTTCTTTGATGGTTTTGTATTTAACATTCAGACCTCCTGTAGCTGCTTTCAATACAGGCAGGTTTTAAATGATCGGTATGTAGAAGTTTGTGTTTGGTGTTACATACTACATGAACAGAAATTATTATTTTAAGGATATAATTATTATTATTATTTAAGGAAAATTCATAACTTGGTAGTTGGCCCTATTGCACATCTTAAAGGGTCTGGCTGAAATAACAGGGCAAAGGATACTTAAGTGTATTGGAGAAGAAATGCTCACTTGACTTGTGAGGTAGGTGGGATAAATGTCACTGATATCTTAGCCTGGTTTTCTAGGCACCATGAGCTCGAGTGTGAGATCTGTTTGCTTGGTCTGGTGTTTGTCCTTTCAGGGGGTACATACTGACCCATTGCCATACCTGTAATTTAGAATCAAGTGCAGCTGGTGTTTAAGGGATATTACTGGAGGAGTTAGGGGAAGTGCAAGGTACACTCAAGGTAATGGTTAGAATATTGACTAACTTTGTTCTCCTGTTCATGAGACAATGTAGAGGTAGAAAAACATCAAATTGAGAAAATTTGGTGGGGACAGGGAGTTGGGTAGAATTCTTTATTTCTGCTTTCTCTCTCCCATCCTCTACAAACAGAGTTAAAAATTGACTGACATAGATATATTTATATTTATTTCACAACTTAGCTTTAGTCATTATCAGTTTGAAATAAAAATTGTCACGTATTAAGCTAGTTGTCATTTATTTTTTGGCTAAAATACTGTATATAAATGTTAAGGCATATCTCTACATTTCTCAAGCAAACTGCTTGTAAAGCAGGAAATTCCTTCTCACTTAACACTAGTATTAAATGCTTAAAGTTTGGGTGTAAGCAGCCAATCACTTGTGGTACTGATGCTCCTTACGGTCTCAGTTCAGTTAAAACTGGCAGTTCTAGCACCAAAAAATATTTATTATAGCATTTATTGCTGAAGGTTTCCTTGAAAGAAGTATCCCCATGCAGCTGTGTAGTCTGTTCTGCTGCTGACAGTGAGTGGCTATGCTTTGGCTAGTCTCAGTTCTGAAAGCAGCCTGTCCACACCCACCTATCTCATCCCCTCCCTTGGCCACAGCCTGCCGTCCTTGTGCTGCTCATAGTCTGTGCAGCAGTGTGCTGACCTGGGAAGTCTCCTGCTAACCTGATGACATGGAAGTTTCCAGCTGTGGGCATCTTCTCTACTTAGTTCTTTGCCGGCTACAAAATTGGTTGTACTAATAGGTGAGAAATGCTAATTCAGTTCAAGCAGATTGAGACAAGCCTGCTGCTTTGGACCAGTGTTCTGGCTTGTGTGTATGAATATGTTTGTTGAACACCTAGAGAATATCTAGTGAGATTCTGCATTTTTTTTAAATCTTCTCACGCTAAAAATCGTATCAATAATTAACTACTGAGTGGTGTTTAATTTATACTAGTCTTGCATTGTTCTTGTGATTTTTGCTGTGTAGTCTTACCAAAATGTTAGGAGAGACAGCACAAGTAGAGAGACTATAGACTAACATGATTACGCTGCTGTCTTGATTTTTTACAGGCTCCTTTTCTTATGCTGAGAGTGACAGATGGTGACAATTGAATTTTTCAAAGGATGTTCTGTGATACAGCAATGACTGAATCTTTAGGAGAGATGTATGCAGTATGTCTGCTATATTTGAGCCATGTTTTCTGGCAATAAAAAATAATTAGGACTGAAAATGTATATTCCAGGTTCTGGAAAAGGAACTCCTGTCTTATAGATCCTTTTGCTGTTTGTTTGGTTGGTTTTTTTCCCCAGTCTGAAGTAACTCAGGATAGGGATTTAGAAAAGGAAAAGGATATGATTATACATAGTGTTGGAATGTTTGAGATGCAAATGGAATTAAGACATAGCTTGTTACACAAAAATAAAAGGATTTATATAGTCTAAGGGAAAAGTTGCATTAAAATTCTCTATAAGGAATCAGAGAATCTTTTAGGTTGGAAAAACTCCTTAAGAACATTGAGTCAAATAGTAAATCTAACAGTACCAAGTCCACAACCAAACCATGTCCTTAAGCAGCACTATGCATCTATACATCTTTTAAATGTTGCCAGTGATGGTGTCCTGAGAGATAAACAATGACATAAAAGGAAAAGAAACAATAAAAACCCAAAATAATTTCATTTAGCAGCAGTTGTAGAACAGCTGCACCCTTGTATTTTTTTGTCCGGAATGGTTTGGATCCTAACTGGAGAAATGCCTGTTAACTGCTATGTCAGGAATACAGGAAGTACTGAATTTTGAAATTTGAAAATTGAGAGCTAAAGTCTTGCCCATACCTCACAGTGTTTTTTTCTTTTGTATTTCCCCATCTGAAGTATGGCACTCAAGTTTAAATTTAATGTTATTGCAACAAACATGAAGAAAATTATTCATTTGGAGCTACAACACATGAAAGTGACCTAAAGTACTTGGCATTTTCTTAACTTCTGAAAAATGCTTATGTTTGGCATCAGGGATTTGTTTGCTTTTCTGCAGATTTTATTGACCTTTGTATCAACTTACACATGATTTCAGTACACAGAAGGGAAAACTGAATTTTATTTTTATTACTTGCAGTATTTAGACTTCTGAAGCCATGGGAGTGAAGGTTCAGAGACCTCGTTGCTTTTTTGACATAGCCATCAACAATGTACCCGGTAAGAAAATGAAAGTATCGATTCAGTAGCACAATATTCATGTAAGATATGTATAAGGAATAATACAAATACCATTTAACTTGACAATTAATATGGTGGGTTTTTTTTCTAGCTGGAAGAGTGGTCTTTGAGCTGTTTTCAGATGTGTGTCCAAAGACATGTGAGAATTTTCGCTGCCTTTGCACAGGTTTGTAGATTTTACTATTTAATCTGTAATTTTTAATGTAATACCATGTTAACTAGTTTGATGTCTGTTATTTTTTGTGACATTTTCTTAAATATGAAAATTAAGTTCAGCATTGCTTCTTGGCACCTCCAAAAATTTAGCTGATGGTCACATATGATCCTACATGTATGATGTAGAGTCAAAACAGTTGTAGCTTTGGCGTAGTGTGTTGCAGGGAGTATATACTAAGCAACTTTAAATACAGGCACAGTAAGCTGATTTTCTGTTACTAGCACAGATATTACTGTTCACATTATATAACATCATCCAGTCTTGAAAGGTAGCCAGCAAGAGGTCAACCATGCAGACTTACTTTTCAGTCTTATGATACTTTGAAGAATTTGAAAGGTAGTGCTGGTATTCATCAGTTGTTTTTTCTGTTATTTTAATTTCTTGAAGGAGACTGGTGATTTCTACTCCTGTTAAAAGTGTATTTCTTGAGGAAAATACTCAGAAGGTTCTCTCTTGGAAACATTTACAAAGAGAGTTATTTTCCTGTGGACTGTTGTGAAGTTTTGAAAAGTGTATGCTGTCTTTGTAAAACAGGGATCATTGTTTTCCTGGCATATGCCAGGTTAGTGGAGCATACACAGCTTCACATTTATCAGAATTCCTATCAAAAGTGGTTTTTTTCCTAGTCATTCAAATCCATATGGAGACACCAGCCTTGTTACAGGTTAAGTTCAGAGGCAACTACCCTTGACAAAAGCTGGCAGTTTAATTGCTCAGTATAAGATTATTGAAAGATGCTGTCTAACAGTTTGCCAGCATGGAGAGGAAGTGGTCTTCCCTGAGAAGTCCCACTAATTACCTTACTGTTACCTTGAGGCTGGCTCTGCTGTTCACAGGACCCACCATGAGCCATGTATCTTGCTAACTCAGCAGAAGTATTGTCTCTGAGCAGGGAGAGGCCATTGTGTTGTAGCTGAAGCAGAGTTTGCTTAAGCAGCAGAGCTGATGGAAGGGAGGAAGATGGCAGTTGTCATCATGAGCAAGGGAGGGAATAAGAGTCCTCCTTCCCCCTGCCTCTATGGCTTTCTTACGAGTTTTTATGCTACCTTAACCTTGCTGTGTTTTAACCAGTGATCTGATTGTTTCTTGCATGTTTCTGAGCAATACCACTTGTCATAAATGTAAACTGGATGCTTAACTTCAGTCAATCTACATGGAAGTGACCAGAGTCATATACTAATGTCAGTAAGGAGTTCTTCTAGTATAACTGTAGAGACAAAAAGTAGTGTCTGCACTGATTTCTTAAATGCCAGTTTCTTACTGGTATTACAGGTAAGTGTCTGCCTCACAAGCCAGTTTTTCAGAGCATAGATGATTTTGGTTGAGTGCATTACATAGCACTTTCTTCGTAATGAAGATTCTACAGATGCAGAAAGTAATTTTTGGTTTTGTTCATTCTCTTCTTTAGGTGAAAAGGGTACAGGAAAGTCCACCCAAAAGCCATTGCATTACAAAAGTTGTCTGTTTCACAGAGTTGTGAAAGATTTTATGATCCAAGGAGGTGACTTCAGTGAAGGTATGACGTGAATCTTTAAATAAAACTTTACCGCTTATGTAATAAAACACTGCAGAAGTTCTGTATAGAACATTTACTTCTATTAGTTATTCTCTGACAGATATCACTGCTTTTTTCCCTTCTGTGTGAGAGCCTTTCCTTGAGAACTTGTATCATAAACTTATATATGTGCATGCACACACATACACACACTTGCTCAAGTTACCTCAAGTATTCAGAGAACTAAATACTTCTATTGAAACGATGATGTGTGAGAATAAAGTATTGTATCCGCTGCTGGGAAATAAAGAAAAAAAGGAGACTGTTACTGAATACATGGGAGAATACTTTCTTGTTTTCCAAGTTTTTTGGTTTTGGATTACGAAGATGCATCTTGATTGTGTTTGCATATCTTGAAGAATAATGTCAGTGACTTGGATGCAGTTGCATCAGTATTAGGAAGCACCTTGCTTAAAATAAACATTCGCCTTTGCATTCTGTAGTCTCTGTTGTGTAAATCTGAATTCCATTTTTTTTTAAAGATTGGTCTTGAAGGCCTTTGACTGTCCCGTTTAAGTTATTTTACTTTTAATATATGAGCCTTTTTAATGACTGAAAAACTAAAACAGAACTCTTTGTATTTGTCCCTTTTACCAGATTTACATTTTTATTGCTGATTTTAGACATTTACTTTTGGCTTGATCAGCTGTCTAAAAGCTGGGGATGGACTCCTCTTTGAGGGAAAATGAGAACAGTGTTGATGGGGTTGGGTTTCCTAGCAAATTTTTATTTAAAAGAATACATAGAGCCCTGCTTTCCTGAACCAAATATGAATTAATGATAGAGCTTTTAATTTTCTCACAATCCTGGTTCATTCTCAGCCAGTGTTGGAGAAGTTATAGTTGCTGTGTTTCTCAGCCTGTGTTTGTCCAGAATATAGTGGAGCATCTGTGTTTCTCAGAGCAGTTGTTGTGTTACACCTAAGCTCATGTGCTGGTTAGCTGCCACCCAGACACAGTTAAACCCCTCTCCCCTCCCGGATACTTTTTTTTTTTACCATTGGTTGTTGTCTGAGCTTCTGGGACACAAGAAAATTATTCACTGCTGTAGTAGGGGCAGACTGCAAATTTATATCAGACCTTGAATGGAATCAACAGTTCAGACCTTGAATGGAATCAACAGTTTGCAACTGCCAGAAGAGGGAGGAGTCCTTACCTTGCACTGACTCTCCAATCAAACCTAATTCAGCTTGCTAAAATGCCTAAAGATTATTGTAACAAAACAAAAAAAAAATATATTTCTCTGTTAGTGAGTGGATCCAGTTAAATAATTTGGCAAGAATCAGACCCAACACAAATGAAGCTAGGTTTGAGGAAATGTATGTCTGGGAGAAACGGAAAAATGAGCACAACCTCCACTTATCTTCTGGCAATAGCAGGCTGGCTGTTCAACTTGGCTGGCCACAGCACGAAACTGAATTTGTGCAGTTTTGCTTTTGTGGATCAGTTAATTAACTGATGCACCATAGGATTAGATTAATGGTTGATACTATTGTACAAGTGATTGGAGAGTGAGTGCCATCCCTTTCATGGCTAGTCACAGTAGCAGTATGAATATTGTACATTTTACTTTGTTAATATTTCCTTCTGCCATCTGTATCCAAACAGTATTGAACAAATGTCCTCGTGTCTGAAGAATTTTCTTCCCCCAAAAGCCATTTTGCTGTTTTGGGAAAGAAGGGAGAGAATTATTTCTTACAGCTGTCTTAAATGAAGAGTAGTTGTTTACATTTTATACTTTTTTAATTTCATAGTTTCATTGGGATTCAGTTTGAACTACTAACAATTACTTGGTCATAAGAAGTAGGATTCATTGAAGTTAAACTAATTTTCTTAACAGCCAACTTGATAACTGTCAGACAAACAAGTTGTTTAGGATTACTATCATAACTATCCACGTGCAGTAAAAAACAGAACAACAAAATGCATGAGAATTAAGGATTTATTAATAGTTAATACACAGCTTCTATTTCAAAGAAAAATAGAGCAACAACTTAGACAACTTAGTAGGAGACCGATCTTTTGTGCAAGAATACTGAATTTTAGGTTTTTTTCCCCTCAAGCTATAAACCATTGATTCATATTTCTCCTTGTTATATAGAATGAACAGAATGATATGTTTTAAAAATAGCTGTTATTTTTAGTCTATTTTTAATACAACTTTTCATTCAAGTGACTGACAGATTTATTTAATTAGGATTAATTTACTTAGACAATAGCATTTACCTAAGCATATATCGTATGCTTATAAAGTAACTGAAAACACTTTCTTTAGATGAAAGTTTTGCTGTAAAGCACAACAAAGAATTTCTCCTTTCAATGGCCAACCGAGGGAAAGATACAAATGGTTCACAGTTCTTTATGTAAGTATTGAAATGTCTTGAAACGTGTATATGGTTTACTATTTGCAAGCTGTAAAGGGAGTCCTCCTAAATATTGAAGACTAGCTCCTGTGCAAAGCTGAAGTTGTTTTTTTACCAAGTTGCCTGGAAGCATTGCTAATATGCTTATTTTTTACCCCTAATGTGCTTTTTAGTATTTAGTTGTCTGTGAAAAAGGGCTTTAGGTAATTTTCAGTAGTTGTTTTCTAACTTGGGCAATAAAGCAAGCCTGTTAGTTTCTTGCAGAATTCTTAGTACTCTAATAAATTGTTTTCTGGAAGGCAGCAAAACAGTTCTGGGGGCTCTCCAAAGTAGTAGAGGACATTTTTAATCACAAAATAGCTTTCCAGTACAGTCATACTTACAGGTAAAACTTAAATTCTGAAGATATTTTGCAATAGACTCTTCTAAAATCTAAATTATCTACAGAAAATATTCTCAAAATACATCACTCTTACCCGTGTTTCATGGCCTTAGTTAACATAACTAAGTTGTGGATTTCAGCATTGAAACCTTATTTTGGAATTTCTAAGTCATCATTATTACTCCAGTTGTCCCAGTTTTCTACTCTTCCATAACTGATGGGTATGCCTTAGTAATGCTAGCATAGGGGAAAGCTGAGAGAGTCAGTTCTGCTTCTGTGTCAAGTAATCTGCACATGCAGATACTTTTTCTTCCAGTTTTCTGGTTTTTTTCTAATTTATAGAAGGTTATTTTCACTTCTGCAGATCTTTGTATCTGTTCCTGGTAGTATTTATATAATTTATTACGTAGCAACTTCTTATATCCTATATGAGGATTCTGTCTAAAAATTTATGTGCAATTTTTTATTTTTTTTTTCAGTAAAATGTAATAATCAAAGTGCTTCATTGAATAGGAAGTTTAACATATAAAACATTAAATACTTTTAGTTGCACACAAACGTAGACTGATACATATCAGTTTTGTTCAATTCTAGTAGTGTACTCAAAATAATGCTCACCTTCCTATGTGTAGATTACATGCTTTGAATTCTGACTGCTTTTCACTAATACTGATTTTGTTTTTCTCTTTAAATTAAAATCTGGAAACAACAGAACAACTAAACCTACACCTCATTTAGATGGGTAAATATCTCTTATTTCTTCTTACTTTTGTTTGGGAACTGCCTTGAGAAAATTAAGTGCTAAGAATGCTAACTTCTGTTTACGTTCTTCAGGCATCATGTTGTTTTTGGACAAGTCATCTCAGGTCAGGAAGTTGTGAGAGAAATAGAAAACCAGAAAACAGATGCATCTAGTAAACCATACGCTGAAGTACGCATACTGAGTTGTGGAGAGTTAATTCCAAAATCCAAAGGTAAAGTTGATCTCTACCTATGAGGTAATTTTGCTGGTTTTCTTCCATGTTGGCTGCTATAAAAATATTTAGAAACTTGTGATTGATGATGGCATGGTTGGTGAGCAGGTGAATAACATTGCAGAGCAATGTCTTCTAAAGAACTTATAAATTGTTGATGCAAAAGACATTGAAGAACAATGATACATGCTTTTTTTCAAAGCTTCTCCTGTCTTGAATTTTCTTATACTAGCTACATTTTAGTAAAAAGCTGGAAAGCACTTGTCATATCAAGTAGGGTGCTGTGTTAAGAAGATTGGTGGCAGTCTGGCTTTATTTGATAACTTGTAGTTTTTCAGAATTGAGCTTGTTTCATGTTGCTCTAAGGTAACTTCAAAACATGCACTTAAATTATAAAAGCCTGGATTTGGCCCTTTAGGTCATACACTTTATAAGTTACTATAAACTATTCTTAAAGAGGAGTATGACAGAAACTGTTGTTCTTTCTGGAAAGGATGTCCTGCTCTGCCATTTCAGAACTGAACATAGTGTGAGAGCTTGGATCAAGCCTTATTTTCTAAGAGAAACAGAATCTGAGATGTTCCTGTCACCATGGAGAATCTCATTCACTGAAAGCCAGGATGTTTGTTTTGTAGGAGCTACAATAGGGGATCATCCTGCTATTTCACTCGTAGCATGTTCTGTTGATATGTTGTGGGAAGGGTTGCACCAAGGATATTAAAGCACAACACAAGAATAATGAGTTTTTTGGCCAGAGGAAAATACAAGCATTTAAACTTCAGCTTCTTATTTTCTCACCTCCTTATTGCTCATTTATTGTGATATTTGGCAGAATGACTTTGGCATCTGACGTGATCTCTTCAACAGGGAGAGATTCCAAGCAAAGTTATCCTTTGGCTCCTGACTTCTGAAAGGTTCTGAGTCATGCCATGTGTTACGATACAATTATGGTTTTCTTGGACAGTATTCCAGAGCATGGCATCTCTTAGGAAATGCACAGGTGGTGTAACTAGAAAATAAAACAGTAGAGATACAGGATGGGTGAAACTAGGGGATGAGATACCCACTCGCATAGATGTCTTCATCAGATTGCCACACTCACTTTGAAGTCCACTCTAGAGCTCTTGAATGACTAAATGAAATTTTTGGCACTGAGCAGTCTAATGAATTACAGGCTTAAGGCAGTGCTTGTCATCCAAAGAGTGAATGAAATAAATACAAAAAAATTGTCTTCCCTCTTAAAAGAGGATGGGC